CACAAATGCTCTAAGTGCATGTAGTCGGCGGAGTGTGTCCACAGTACCGAGGCAACCATCAACTTCCGGAGTGTTGCACTGTGGGTAGCTATCCCATAGTTCCCGCAGTCTCCACCACCCATTTGAATTCTGGGTAGAAATCCCAGTGCCTGATGGGGCTAAAACATTGTCGCAGGTGGTTCTGGGTACATATCGTCAGGCCCCCCTTCCCTCCCTCCTTCTGTGAAAGCAAGGGCAGACAATTGTTTTGCGCCTTTTTTCTTGAGTTACCTGTGCAGACGCCATACCACGGCAAGCATGGAGCCCACTCAGCTAACCGTCACCATATGTCCCCTGGGTGCTGACAGACGTGGTACTGCATTGCTACACAACAGCAGCTCATTGCCTTTTGGCAGCAGACAGTGCAGTATGACTGGTAGCCGTCGTCGACATAGTCCTGGGTACCCTTTTAACCGACCTCAGTGAGGTCAGGGGCACCTGGGCAAGCATGGGAGTGACTCAGCCAGGTCATTTCCCTTTTAAGTTTCGTCTCAGAAGATGATGGCCAGCAGTCATACTGCACCGTCTTCTGCCGAGCACCCAGGAGATGACGATGGCTAGCGGCCGTACTGCACAGTCTGCTGCCAGCAAGATGTATAAAGATAGATGAAGTGGATCAAAACAAGAAATAGACCAGATTTGTTTTGTATTCAGTTTCTCCTCCCTCCCTGCGTGAAATCAACGGCCTGCTAAACCCAGTTTTGAGTTCTATCCTTGAGGTTTTGAGTTCTATTCTTGAGGGGGCCATTCTGTTTCTCGCAAAGCCACCCCCTTTGTTGATTTTAATTCCCTGTAAACCAACCCTGTAAGCCGTGTCGTCAGTCGCCCCTCCCCCCGTCAGGGCAACGGCAGACAATCGTTCCACACCTTTTTTCTGTGCAGACGCCATACCATGGCAAGCATGGAGCCCGCTCAGATCACTTTGGCAATTAGGAGCACATTAAACACCACACGCATTATCCAGCAGTATATGCAGCACCAGAACCTGCCAAAGCGAAACCGGGCGCGTAGGCAACGTCAGCGCGGTGACGAGAGTGATGAGGACATGGACACAGACTTCTCTCAAAGCACGGGCCCTGGCAATGTGGGCATCATGGTGCTAATGGGGCAGGTTCATGTGGTGGAACACCGATCCTGGGCTCGGGAAACAAGCACAGACTGGTGGGACCGCATAGTGTTGCGGATCTGGGATGATTCCCAGTGGCTGCGAAACTTTCACATGCGTAAGGGCACTTTCATGGAACTTTGTGACTTGTCTCCCCTGCCCTGAGGTGCAAGAATACCAAGATAAGAGCAGCCCTCACAATTGAGAAGCGAGTGGCAATAGCCCTGTGGAAGCTTGCAATGCCAGACAGCCACCGGTCAGTCGGGAATCAATTTGGAGTGGGCAAATCTACTGGGGGGCTGCTGTGATGCAAGTAGCCCACGCAATCAAAGATCTGCTGATATCAAGGGTAGTGACCCTGGGAAATGTGCAGGTCATAGTGGATGGCTTTGCTGCAATGGGATTCCCTAACTGTGGTGGGACCATAGACGGACCCCATATCCCTATCTTGGCACTGGAGCACCAAGCCGGCAAGTACATAAACCGCAAGGGTACTTTTTCATAGTACTGCAAGCACTGGTGGATCACAAGGGATGTTTCACCAACATCAACGTGGGATGGCTGGGAAAGGTACATGACGCTCGCATCTTCAGGAACTCTGGTCTGTTTCAAAAGCTGCAGGAAGGGACTTTATTCCCAGACCAGAAAATAACCGTTGGGGATGTTGAAATGCCTATAGTTATCCCTGGGGACCGGGATGAACTCATGAAGCCATACACAGGCAGCCTGGACAGTAGTCAGGAGCTGTTCAACTACAGGCTGAGCAAGTGCAGAATGGTGGTAGAATGTGTATTTGGACGTTTAAAAGCGCGCTGGTGTATGTATGCTGTATGTAAGGGAGCAGTATGACTGCTCAGAGCTCCAGTACGAAACTGCAGAAAAACCTGAGTGTCTCTGGATTAAGTTTAGAAGTGTGAGCAACAAGAGTGATGTAGTGGTGGGAGTCTGCTATAGACCACCGGACCAGGGGAATGAGGTGGATGAGGCTTTCTTCCGGCAGCTCACAGAAGCTACTAGATCGCACGCCCTGGTTCTCATGGGTGACTTTAATTTTCCTGATATCTGCTGGGAGAGCAATACAGCGGTCACAGACAATCCAGGAAGTTTTTGGAAAGCGTAGGGGACAATTTCCTGGTGCAAGTGCTAGAGGAGCCAACTGGGGGGGAGCTTTTCTTGACCTGCTGCTCACAAACCGGGAAGAATTAGTTGGGGAAGCAAAAGTGGATGGGAATCTGGGAGGCAGTGACCATGAGTTGGTTGAGTTCAGGATCCTGACACAGGGAAGAAAGGTAAGCAGCAGGATACGGACCCTGGACTTCAGGAAAGCAGACTTCAACTCCCTCAGGGAACGGATGGGTAGGATCCCCTGGGGGACTAACATGAAGGGGAAAGGAGAGCTGGCTGTATTTCAAGGAATCCCTGTTGAGGTTACAGGGACAAACCATCCCGATGTGTCGAAAGAATAGTAAATATGGCAGGCGACCAGCTTGGCTTAATAGTGAAATCCTAGCGGATCTTAAACATAAAAAAGAAGCTTACAAGAAGTGGAAGGTTGGACATATGATCAGGGAAGAGTATAAAAATATTGCTCGAGCATGTAGGAATGAAATCAGGAGGGGCAAATCACACCTGGAGCTGCAGCTAGCGAGAGATGTCAAGAGTAACAAGAAGGGTTACTTCAGGTATGTTGGCAACAAGAAGAAAGCCAAGGAAAGTGTGGGCCCCTTAATGAATGACGGAGGCAACCTAGTGACAGAGGATGTGGAAAAAGCTAATGTACTCAATGCTTTTTTTGCCTCTGTCTTCACTAACAAGGTCAGCTCCCAGACTGCTGCGCTGGGCATCACAACATGGGGAATAGATGGCCAGCCCTCTGTGGAGAAAGAGGTGGTTCGGGACTATTTAGAAAAGCTGGACATGCACAAGTCCATGGGGCCGGACGAGTTGCATCCGAGAGTGCTAAAGGAATTGGCGGCTGTGATTGCAGAGCCATTGGCCATTATCTTTGAAAACTCGTGGCGAACAGGGGAAGTCCCGGATGACTGGAAAAAGGCTAATGTAGTGCCAATCTTTAAAAAAGGGAAGAAGGAAGATCCTGGGAACTACAGGCCAGTCAGCCTCACCTCAGTCCCTGGAAAAATCATGGAGCAGGTCCTCAAAGAATCAATCCTGAAGCACTTACATGAGAGGAAAGTGATCAGGAACAGTCAGCATGGATTCACCAAGGGAAGGTCATGCCTGACTAATCTAATCACCTTCTATGATGAGATAACTGGTTCTGTGGATGAAGGGAAAGCAGTGGATGTATTGTTTCTTGACTTTAGCAAAGCTTTTGACACGGTCTCCCACAGTATTCTTGTCAGCAAGTTAAAGAAGTATGGGCTGGATGAATGCACTATAAGGTGGGTAGAAAGTTGGCTAGATTGTTGGGCTCAACGGGTAGTGATCAATGGCTCCATGTCTAGTTGGCAGCCGGTGTCAAGTGGAGTGCCCCAGGGGTCGGTCCTGAGGCCGGTTTTGTTCAATATCTTCATAAATGATCTGGAGGATGGTGTGGATTGCACTCTCAGCAAATTTGTGGATGATACTAAATTGGGAGGAGTGGTAGATACGCTGGAGGACAGGGATAGGTTACAGAGGGACCTAGACAAATTGGAGGATTGGGCCAAAAGAAATCTGATGAGGTTCAATAAGGATAAGTGCAGGGTCCTGCACTTAGGACGGAAGAACCCAATGCACAGCTACAGACTAGGGACCAAATGGCTAGGCAGCAGTTCTGCGGAAAAGGACCTAGGGGTGACAGTGGACGAGAAGCTGGATATGAGTCAGCAGTGTGCCCTTGTTGCCAAGAAGGCTAATGGCATTTTGGGATGTATAAGTAGGGGCATAGCGAGCAGATCGAGGGACGTGATCGTCCCCCTCTATTCGACATTGGTGAGGCCTCATCTGGAGTACTGTGTACAGTTTTGGGCCCCACACTACAAGAAGGATGTGGATAAATTGGAGAGAGTCCAGCGAAGGGCAACAAAAATGATTAGGGGTCTGGAACACATGACTTATGAGGAGAGGCGGAGGGAACTGGGATTGTTTAATCTGCAGAAGAGAAGAATGAGAGGGGATTTGATAGCTGCTTTCAACTACCTGAGAGGTGGTTCCAGAGAGGATGGTTCTAGACTATTCTCAGTGGTAGTAGAGGACAAGACAAGGAGTAATGGTCTCAAGTTGCAGTGGGGGAGGTTTAGGTTGGATATTATGAAAAACTTTTTCACTAGGAGGGTGGTGAAACACTGGAATGCGTTACCTAGGGAGGTGGTAGAATCTCCTTCCTTAGAAGTTTTTAAGGTCAGGCTTGACAAAGCCCTGGCTGGGATGATTTAATTGGGGATTGGTCCTGCTTTGAGCAGGGGGTTGGACTAGATGACCTCCTGAGGTCCCTTCCAACCCTGATATTCTATGATTCTATGATTCTATGGTGCAGTTTACTGACTCGGTTAGACCTCAACGAAACCAATATTCCCACTGTTATTACTGCTTGCTGTGTGCTCCGCAATATCTGTGAGAGTAAGGGGGAGACGTTTATGGTGGGGTGGGTTATGCACAGCCAGACACCAGGGTGGTTAGAAGAGCACAGGAGGGCGCAGTGCACATCAGAGAAGCTTTGAAAACCAGTTTCATGACTGGCCAGGCTACGGTATGAAAGTTACTTGTGTCTCCTTGATGAAACCCTCTGCCCCTTGGTTCACTCTACTTCCCTGTAAGCTAATCACCCTCCCCTCCTCCCTTCGATCACCGCTTGCAGAGGCAATAAAGTCATTGTTGCTTCACATTCATGCATTCTTTATTAATTCATCACACAAATAGGGGGATAATTACCAAGGTAGCCCAGGAGGGGTGGTGGAGGAGAGAAGCACCGAGTGGGATGGTGGAGGAGGGAAGGACAAGGCCACACAGCACTTTAAAAGTTTAAAACTTTAAAACTCATTGAATGCCAGCCTTCTGTTGCTTGGGCAATCCTCTGGAGTGGAGTGGCTGGGTGGCCAGAGGCCCCCCCAAAGCGTTCTTGGGCATCTGGGTGAGGAGTTTATGGAACTTGGGGCGGAGGGCGGTTGGTTCCACAGGGGCTGTAGCGGTGGTCTGTGCTCCTGCTGCCTTTCCTGCAACTCAACCATACGCTGTAGCATATTAGTTTGATACTCCAGCAGCCTCAGCATTGAATCCTGTCTCCTCTCATCACGCTGCTGCCACCTTTCAGCTTCAGCCAGCCACTTACTCTCTTCAGCCCGCCATCTCTCCTCCCGCTCATTTTGTGCTTTCCTGCACTCTGACATTGTCTGCCTCCACACATTTGTCTGTGCTCTGTCAGTGTGGGAGGACAGCATGAGCTCAGAGAACATTTCATCACGAGTGCGTTTTTTTCACCTTCTAATCTTCACTAGCCTCTGGGAAGGAGAAGATCCTGTGATCATTGAAACACATGCAGCTGGTGGAGAAAAAAAGAGGGACAGTGGTATTTAAAAAGACACATTTTATAGAACAATGGGTACACTCTTTCACGGTAAACCTTGCTGTTAACATTACATACATAGCACATGTGCTTTCGTTCCAAGGTCGAATTTTGCCTCCCCCCAGCACGTGGCTAGCCCCTCACCGCTCCCCCCTCGCCATGGCTAACAGCAGTGAACATTTCTGTTCAGCCACAGGCAAAAAGCCCAGCAGGAACGGGCACCTCTGAATGTCCCCTTAAGAAAAGCACCTCTATTTCAACCAGCTGACCATGAATGATATCTCACTCTCCTGAGGATAACACAGAGAGATAAAGAACAGATGTAGTTTGAACGCCAGCAAACATACACTGCAATGCTTTGTTGTACAATGATTCCCGAGTACGTGCTACTGGCCTGGAGTGGTGAAGTGTCCTACCATGAAGGACGCAATAAGGCTGCCCTCCCCAGAAACCTTTGGCAAAGGCTTTGGGAGTACATCTAGGAGAGCCGTGAATGCCAGGGCAAATTAATCATTAAACATGCTTGCTTTTAAACCATGTATAGTATTTTAAAAGGTACACTCACCAGAGATCCCTTCTCCACCTAGTGGGTCCAGGAGCCAGCCTTGGTTGGGTTCGGATGGTACTGTCTCCAGGTCCAGGGGGAGAAACAGTTCCTGGCTGTTGGGAAAACCGCTTTCTCCGCTTGCTTGCTGTGAGCTATCTACAACCTCATCATCATCTTCCTTGTCCCCAAAACCTGCTTCCGTGTTGCATCCCTCTCCATTGACTGAGTCAAAGCACACAGTTGAGGTAATGGTGGCTGAACCCCCTAAAATGGCATGCAGCTCATCATAGAAGTGGCATGTTTGGGGCTCTGACCTGGAGCGGCCGTTCGCCTCTCTGGTTTTGTGGTAGGCTTGCCTCAGCGCCTTAAGTTTCACGCAGCACTGCTTCGGGTCCCTGTTATGGCTTCTGTCCTTCATGCCCTGGGAGATTTTGACAAATGTTTTGGCATTTAGAAAACTGGAACGGAGTTCTGATAGCACGGATTCCTCTCCCCATACAGCGATCAGATCCCATACCTCCCATTCGGTCCATGCTGGAGCTCTTTTGCGATTCTGGGACTCCATCATGGTCACCTCTGCTGATGAGCTCTGCATGGTCACCTGCAGCTTGCCACGCTGGCCAAACAGGAAATTGAAATTCCAAAGTTTGCAGGCCTTTTCCTGTCTACCTGGCCAGTGCATCTGAGTTGAGAGTGCTGTCCAGAGCAGTCACAATGGAGCACTCTGGGATAGCTCCCGGAGGCCAATACCATTTAATTGTGTCCACAGTACCTCAAATTCGACCCGGCAAGGCCGATTTCAGCGCTAATCCCCTTGTCACAGATGGAGTAAGGAAATCGATTTTAAGAGCCCTTTAAATCGTAAAAAAGGGCTTCGTCGTGTGGACGGGTGCAGGGTTAAATCGATTTAACGCTGCTAAATTCGACCTCAACTCCTCGTGTAGACCAGGGCCTTGTGGCGATGTCACATTTCTCCATTAGTTTCTAAATGTTACAGCTGCATATTGTGAGATTTGAGCCAAGGTGTTGTGTTTTGTTGTTGTTGTTGGGTTTTTTAAGTATACAAGAAGTGGAGGCACCTGAAACAGAGGCACCCAACAGGCACCCTTTGGCCGTAATCTATTTTACCTTTATAAACCAAACCTTTTTTTTTTTTAAAGACATCAATCAAATGTAACTATAATATATGTTGTAACTAAATTGCTCATTCGGAACAAGAGATATTTGCTATCTGCCTGATTAATGTTTCTTTCAAAGATTTTCCTTCTGCTGCTCGTACATTGCCGTAGCATGTTCACCTGCACTGGGGCTTCCAGCAAACTCACAATCATTTCCCCTACCACTGTTTATTCAAACTTCCCTAACCTAACACCAGGGGACCACATCATCTGTATTATTTATGTTTCCACACCTGGATCAGCAGGGTATGGAACAGACATTGGTGTGCTCACACAAAAGCTCTTTTGTGGATACCCGATGCATATCTGAAGGTACACAACTCAAGCTATTAAGCAAATGGTCCAGCATAAAAACCCATTGCATTTCTATTCCAACACATTTCCAAGTGGAAAAGAATACAGCTACATGGACTGGGAAGAGAAAAGGGAAACATTTTACTCGTTTGTCTGACAGTGTAGAAAGCTCTGCAGTGTAGAAAACAACTGGAAAATTTAGGATGAGGGCCAAGTGGAAAAGTTTTGTATCTCCATGTAGGAATCAAAGGACTGAAGCAGATTCCATAGGCAAGAGCCCAAACGCTAATGGTTTATACAGAATCACAGCTGAATACGTCACTAGTCAGGAAATGGTTCACTGAAGAACCATTTGCTGTCCCTAATAGTAGCACCACCCCTACTAGGAAGACAAACAGATAAGGTAGCTCTCAAACAAGGAGCTCACATAACTGCAATCACATCTATTCTGCTCCCCTGTCTAATTCACTTCCCGGACATAATTCCTGTCTTAGTTTCTTGTTTTTGGAGGATTGATGAAAACGCTGTTCAGAGACAGACCGTGTGGTCAGCCAGTGAACAAGCTCTTGGCTCTTCAGAGAAGTCAGCTGGAAATGATTTATGGCATCAGTGTTAATAGCAGGTCTTCAGTGCAGCTGCACCAGAGCAAACCCAACGCGATGACGTTAATCGAGTAAAAGCTCTCTCCCGCATGTAGCTGTGGCGACCACAGCAATCCCACTGCACGTGAAGGGTAGCCTAGCAATAACTCCATGCCTAAGCAGCACAGAAGACAACGTCTACATTTGCAGACACAGCATTTAAATTTGCCTGTGGCTAAAATTACAGGGATACAGGATGCCACTTGCAGAAGGGATGGAGTACTGGTGAATCTCCTCCCTTCATTTGCCTATATGTCAAGTATTTATATGGCATCAGTCACTATAGTATCCAAGCACCCATTTACTTGCAATCCCCCCCAAAACAAGATGCAAATTATAGAGGAGTATAGAGAGATCACCTCTCTCAGAAATTATAATACATGGGAGGATCAAGGGGCTTTGAGGCCTCTGCTGAGTCTGACATTCATAAGAGCCCCCAAAATATCACACTATTAGTTCTTGAAGAAGCAGAAGCCAAGTATTGCCACTAATTACCAACACAAATATAATTGTGGAATAATGATTTACTGATGAAAATGATTCATTCTGCATTTTTTAAAGCTTCCTGATTTAGAAGTCACATTCTACCTCTCAAAATGAATCTTCCAAAAAACAAAAACAAAACAAAAAAAACCACTAAAAGATGTAATAAGTTTATTTTCCCCAGATGCTCACAAATATTTCAGAAGCTGACATTGTTTTAAGGGTGTACCTTACCATCATGTATGATTCACATGCACAGAATTCTAAGAGGCCATGAGCAGTGTAAAACAAGGCACCGGATGGGGAGTCAGAGTAGAGAACTCCAGACCCCTAATGCTCCGTGAAGGAGTCAGCGACCCATGCCCAGAGGATCTTGGCCTGGATGCATGAAATGGCCAGGGAATGGAAAAAGGCCCCACAGTCACAGAGAACCTCCCCATCCATCTTCCTCCTCCTGGACTTATGGATGGCCAGAGCTAGGAAGACTGACAAGGAGGTCTCGTGCCTTTGTGGAGCCGCAGATGGGCCACGTAGACAGGAACAGTTGTGGAGGAAAGCATGGCCAGAACCTCACTCTGCCTGAAGGTGCTGAAAGAGGAGCGGCAACATGGCACTCTGCAGGTAGGCCAGGGTCTCCCTCTCACCACAACAGGGGAAGGCGTCAGAGATTTCTGTGAACTGTGCCTGCCACGCACCCAGGCTAACAGCCCCTGTGTAAGAGCCACCAGCTGATAACCACAGCAGGCCACAAGACCAGAGCTGCATGAAGGCTCACCCTTGCTAGGTGGAAGGGCATCCTGCCATTTAGTATTAGGGCAGGACACGAGAGCAAGGAAGCACATGTCGTGGAGAGCAGACACGTAGAGATGGTCCCCGGGTGTGGCTCTGAAGCAGGCCTGCTGGACGGCATTCAGCCTGCCTAGGTGATATGCTGGGGGCAGCCAGCAGGGTGGTTTGTGGGGTAGGAGCCTGAAGTTGAGTTCTGATGGGCCAGTGGCTATAGGAAGGTGGAGAACACCCTTTTCACAGGACCTGCTCAAGACACAGAAGAGAGGCTGGGCAGCCTTCATCTCCTAGAGCACACAGCAGGGGACATGAAGAGTGTGCACCCCATGGTTGACCCAGTATTACCAGCCATAGTCCAGAGGTCTCTTATCCTAGTGATATCAGCCAGGGCCAGCCTCCAACACACCAAGGACACCCCCATTACCTGCGCAGGAAGACAGGGATTTTGCAGCAGGGGCTCAGCAAGGCACCCCCCCACACACTTGGCGTGGATCCCCTGCAATGAACATGGTTGTGTTGGTTCACATGCACAGGCTTGACGCCTCTGGCAACTGAAGACTTACTTATTCATAGAGCAGGCAGTCACCGTGCAGGTTTCCTCTCAGCCCCGACTTGGCAGGACCAGGCATAGAAGCAAAAAGATCCATCAGTCTTTAGACATATTCAATTGATGGCTGCTTGGGCTGGGTTAGCCCAACAAAAGGGATAACCCAGAGGAGCTTGTGTGGCTAAAGGCCTTTGGCTCAGTCTAACTTGACAAATGACCAAGCGACATGATGCTCAGATATAGGAGAGGCTGGCAAATGAAAGTGATTGTCCACAGCCACATTCTGGTTGGGCCTTCCTGATGTCACACTTGGTCACAGACTCACAGCGAGGCTCTCATTGCCTCAACAGGAGCCTGATCCAAAGCCCACTGAAGTCAACTGAGACACCTTCTCTCTTAATCTTCCGTCTCTGTACTGGACCATTTCAATAGTTGTCATAGGATCAGCTGTTAAACCTGTAAACCCCTTTTCCGCAACCCCACCCCACCCCCCACCCCAGGGGCCAGCTGCCTCTTTCTAGCAGGCAGCTGCTGTCCTTCAAATAGTCACCCTTACTAACAAACTGAGCACCCTGAACCTCTGTCTCCAAATTCAAGGTGTAATTAAACCTGCCCCATGTCTGCAACAACCACTGACCTACCTCTGGTTTCCCATCAAAGGGATACTACAGCTTCCCCAGGCAGTCCAGCCCAGCCTCATCCTCAAGGCCACTAGGGCCCTTTCTATGTCTCCATTCCAGCAAAGCACTTAAGCAGGCGACTAATCCCATTCAAGTCAAGCACATGCTTGAAATTAAGCATATATTTAAATCCTTTGCTGAATCAGGGAATAAACGCCTTTCCCTCCCCCACTATATGCCCAGATGCCTATTAAACAGCAGTTAGTGGTCCTCTGGCCATGTTGAATTCTCATAACAACAGATACGCCCCGCTTTAGGAATAAAAAGTTAGCATTATGCCAGAAACTGCCACTGAAAGGAAAGACAAGACCATGAATTTATTTCAAGGAGAGAGAAAGACCTAAGACAAAAAAAAGTGAGGGAAAAATAATTGTATACAAAAGAGGCCAGAAAAAGGATGCTATAATTTTGTTCTCTACTTTTGTCTGCTGTCCTTAAAGGACTATTTTTAATAGGGGAGGATGACCTATCCTTGACCCCCGAAATACTGCACTTTTAAAAAAAAAATTAAAAACACTGAGATGTAAAATGAAGGAGCTGTTCAGTCTAACAAGGAATAAACCACACCAGAAGGTGTGCATGAGGCTCTCTTTCTTGAGTACATAAAGGCCACCTGCTAGGGGATATACTTTTGGGGCTTATTGCTGTATTTATCATCCCACCTACAGAGGTTATTAAAAGATGTATTTCAGATGCTCTTTTCCTGGTACTAATCCTCAAAGGTGAATAATTTATGCATTTGACTTTTTTCTTGTCAACAAAAATACCTGAAGGTGGTGTCTAAACTGGGGAAATAGTCCCAAAGATTCAAATCAGTTTTAAAACTAGCTAGAGCCCCAGTAGAGACAAGGGTTTAGCAACTAGAAGCTGCTTTTCAGAGATTTAGGTGATTCTTAACACTGGCACCTTGTCTATGTGCCAGCTCTGAACAAGTCTGAATTTTAGGGAAAGGTACAGTAGAGGCAGAAGTCAAATCTTCATTTTTGGAATATTTACTCAATTTAGGCAGACTGAAGAAAAGTATTGGTCTGTTTCATACTTTCAGCATCAGTTACTCTCCATTTAACTGCAGAACAGCACCGTTTGCTGAACGGCTGTACAAAGAGCTGTACTTCAATGTGATATATGGTGAAACTGTAATTGCATTCAGAAAGCTTCCAGTTACTGAAGGCAGATGCTAACTGCAGCTTCTGGGTGGGGATGTTAAAATCAAAATGAACAGTAATTACCTGTCCACTTTTTAGCAACAGGTCATTTCTTCTTTCTTTTTAAGAGCTGCACGAACCTGTCATTTGTGTTTGACCAATGGAACTAAGCAACCCCACCTCCCACCGAGGAAAGGGGCAGGCTAAGCTAGAATACGCTCACACTTTTCAAAAAGAAAAAGAGTACTTGGGGCACCTTAGAGACTAACCAATTTATCTGAGCATAAGCTTTCGTGAGCTACAGCTCACTTCATCGTTGTTCGTCTCTAAGGTGCCACAAGTACTCCTTTTCTTTTTGCGAATAGAGATTAACATGGCTGCTACTCTGAAACCTGTCACACTTTTCAGTTAGCTTCCCCGTTTTAAAACTTTGTGCAAACTAGTTTGCCAGCAGGCGAAAGTCAGGACAGCAGCTTACATCCAGCCTCACCTATTTCACCAAACAAGGCAAGGCTTATGCACATGCAATTGAGGCACGCAACAGGTGCTAGTGAAAAGTGCCTGACTCCCAGCCTGTATTTCCTACTTTCTTTCTAGATTCAGTATCTGCAGCCACACCCACTCACTAGGGTGCACATGACACTGCTTAAAAGTATTCTAGAAGAATCCCATTTGTAAGGCAGCTCGCTGCACCAGGGCATATAGCAAACATTTAGTTGTTAGTAGCTGGCGAGTAGACAATCACAAAGACGATTCCTAAAAATTCCTTCGGTTGGGGAAGTTTCACAGCATATTGTTTTAGACGCCAGGAGAAAAGTCAATGAGTCAAACCAGGAGGCCAAACTTCAAGCTTTCTAACTGTTGACTCCAACCTGTGTTTTTCTACACTGAGATCTATACTGTCCTATACACTCATTATCTAAGCCCTTTTGGGGAGTAGATTCCCCTGCACCCTGGGAGGTATCTAGCTACTGCTAAATAACCAGGTCATGTTACAAGAAGTAGGGCTCTGTGTCTGTCATGGAGGTCACCGAAGTCATGGATTCCATGACTTCTGACACTTCTGCAGTGGCCAGCGTGGCTGACCCCAGGGCTGCCCATGGAGACAGCCTCAGCGGAGGCTGGGGGAGTAGCTCCGCAGCCAGCCATACTAGTGCAGCTGCAGGGGCCCCAGGGCCAGCCGCACCTCGGCACCAGACCAGGACCATCCTGAGCAGGGTCAGCGGCCCCTGGCCACGGGTGCTCCCCCTCAGCACAGTGCCCCCCGTTAAGATTTAGTCACGGGTATTGTTAATGTAAGTCATGGATAGGTCACAGGCTGTGAATGTTTGTTTATTGCCCATGACCTGTCCTTGACTGTCTTGTACTAAAAATACCCTTGACCAGATCGTAGCCTTAGCAATAAGAGATGCTATTGTGGATTTTAAAGAGGCACAAGCTGTTC